TTAAAAGAGTTATCTCCATTTCAATACACAAACATACTTTTTTGAATCAGGGCAATGTGGAGGCCATTCTCTTTGCGATGATTCCAGCCCATAGCATGGACTGTGAACATGTCAGTTCTTGCTGTGAAGAAGAATACATCTCATTACAATGTTATAAAATATAAATGTGTACATTTACAGGAAAGCAGGGCCCAAAAAGGTTCACAAACCTGACTTGGCCATGTATTTAGTTGTTAGGCCACATCTGGATAAGAAGCTGTTTACTTGTTCCACTTCTTCACCAAGAGTGGTGCCAGCACCCTCCTGGTTCCGTGCATTCCAAATAATCTAAAGCATGAGGTAATCAATGTTGATGCAAATCTCAAGGTCAACAACTCATAACTTAAAACATTCTCTTGGATCAGTTCAGACTCATGTGTAGTGGTCAGATTTACCATTAATTGTTGTTTAAGTAATTCAAATCCTCACCTCGCATTTGGTGTTGTGGGCTTTGGCATGCATCACAGACAAGCAATGTCTCATTTCCTTTAGGGGCTGAAAATGAGGCAAGGCTTCTGACACTTTGTCAAGATATGGTACATACCGACACATCACGTCCATTGCCAAAAATGAGGCACTCTGGAACTCTTTTTGGAGAAACATCGGATAGGCAAAGATTTCTCCTCTATACATATTTAAAGCTTTTTTTTAAAAATAAATAAAAATAGTGAGTACAAAGCAGATTGAAGGTAAAGCTTCAGATTATCTACAAATATTTTAATTGAAAATGATCAAGACAACTACCAACCTTTGAGAAGAAATCCATGCCTACACACAGCAATTTCAACACCTTCTTCATCCAACTTGTTGGCTCGCTTAGAGGTCTCCCTTGCTGCTGTCCAGTGAGATTCCCCACACATTGCTTTTCCTGCAGTCTACCAAAGTAAATCGTTTTTAGAGAATCATTATCAGAAGTTATTTCAAAACACTGGATAGTGGGACCAACTGACGGTATTATCAAACATATGAAGTTTAAACTATTACACACAAGTGTTTTGTGCTCGACTGACAGCTTCACCTGGATATGCAACTCCCTGGATAATAACAAACCCGTTTTTGGATAATTGGAAGGCTCCAAATGTGTAATATATTCTGGATTAGAATGTAGCTGTTTTTTCAATCCAGTTTTACAGCAATAATGTTTGTGACAGTTGACCGCATTGCTGACCTCATCACCCTGTCATCTGGTCTCAACACTTCTATCCCATCTCCAAAAAAATATGAAGGCAACTGTGTTACTACTATTTTAACTTCAATTAGTTATTAAAAAAGGTGAGATACATTTTGCATTGCTTAATTTAAAACTCACACTTTTGACAGCCCCTTGAACATCCTCCACAAAAGTGGAAACCTCAGAGTCTTGGGCTAAAAACACTCCGTCAAAGAAGCCTGGCTCTTCACTCCTATAAGAAAAGGAATTATAGATAACCACTCTAGTTACAAATTGAACATAGTAATAATAATAATAATAATAATTATATTTAAAGCACATCTTTCAAAACAAGGTTATAAAGTCTAACAGAAATATTTTAGATTCAACAGCTGTAGTTTTAACAGCTATATAACAGGAAAGAACTATAGCTACTAATTGCTCCTGTGGGGATTGTCCACTGTACTGAATGGACAATCAGTAAGTCGCTTTGGATAAAAGCGTCTAACAAATGACATGTACAAAATAAATAAAAATAGCAATCCCAATGTCAAATTAAAATACAAGGACCAAGGACAAGTGCTGTGTCAATGTAAAATACTTACTGGTTTGTTTTCTGGAACCTGTAAAGTTTCCTATTGCCATCTACTGAAACAGCCACCATTTCAGGGCTACTGGCTGGACAGACAAATGGCTCTTTACACAGAAGTTTATTCTCTTCAAATGTGCAGTACACATACTGCAGAAAGCTTCTCTGAAAAGCATCTGCATTCACCTTGCCAGTCTGAAATAAAAATACATTATATATGTTATCATATTTTGTATCATATCTCGCTCATCCATATTTGGCCATAAATATATTTATTATGATAATACATGTATTTGTCTTTCAGCTTCACATTTGGACAAGTGCTTTGTTCTCTGGTCCAACATTGAAGTAACGGCTTGTCTAGACATTCCTGGAGCTGCCATCTTCATAGCCTCAAAGGAATGGAACAGGGTTTGTGCTTGCATGGTAGCTGGCCAGTATCCACTCCTAACCAAGTCATTGAATTCTGGACCCCATTTCTTAGTGCAATGTTTGCATGTTAGCTCTGGAACATTAAGATCGTAACGGCCTAAGAACACATAAAGAAAAAAACAATGAATTAGAGTAATGTATTAGTTAAAAAATACTTTTAAAAAAACAATTTCACCAAAACCTACCATTTATGCACACCATAGGTCTACCAACAGAGACTGCAACATCGAAAACTTCACAAGAACATATCCTTGAAGGAAAGGATGTTGGAAGCAAACGATCTGCAAGGTCAAAGTACAATCAGGATGAGATTTAACAATGTTGTAAGCAAGCACTATGATAACAGAATGCAATTTGAGATTAAAATGAGTTTTTTTGTGAGGGGAAAAAAGGCTGATCAATTTTTAAAAAATGGGACACTAACCTTGTTTAGAAATGATGTATTTGCCATCCTGGAGTTTCACAGACTCTGTTGGAGGAATGTACTTGTAAAATCCATTACAGGTGGTTTGCCTACTGTGCAGAGTGTGTTTAGTATGAACCAAGATATCACACTCTGCACAAAACCACTCTGATGGCATACATTCCTCACAACGGATTAATTATTAATAAGTTGTCAACGTTCTGTGGCCTTGCCTGTTGCCAACACTGTTGAAACTCTTTTTGCCTTTGAGTCCAAGATGACAATGGTGGCACATCCCAATCGATATTGAATGTTAACACTAGAAGTTATGCACAAAGAAAAACTTTTATGTTGAAGACCAACCAAAGTATTTTTTGTATTTTTGACGGTTATTGAACCATTCCATTTTGATTGTATGTTTTTATGAGTTATGTACTATGCAAAGTTCAGATGAAGAACTCATTGATTTCAGTATTATTTACATAACCTAAAGGGTCTGTAAGGAGGGATTGTTAGAAATTAAAATCAATATTTAATGATAAAACATTTTTAAACATACAGTAATTTTATAACTGTTTTATTGTGAAAATACTTCCGGTTAGCTTCAAGGGGGATGTTGCAGATCTCCGCAGGGAGAGCGTTCCAGAGAGTGGGGGCTGCTATACTGAAGGCTCTGTCCCCGAAGGATCGCAGGTTGGTGCGGGGGGCCAGAGTCTGAAGACCGCAGGTTCCGGGGTAGAGCATGTGGGAATTGTATTGATTTGATACAAGCAAGCCAGTGTTTCATTGTGTACTTTCAACTACAGTACATTATGGTCCGGCAAGTTCAGCATTCACTGCATTCACTGTGATGAATATAAAATAAGACACTGATACCATTTTCCTCAATGAACATTTATTGAACAGAACATCATGTGGAAAATCAGAGGGGCACCATTCAAGCTGGTCTGCTTAAAAATAAATAAATAAAAATAACCTTTTAAATTGATCATAACAGTAAAATCAACATGATTTTAAATAAAAATGTAAGCAGCCAGGATTGACATATATATATATATATATATGTATATGTATTCCATTCCTTTACATTTAATATTTAAAATACAAATTAGCAAAATAAACACAATTACACTGCGCTAAACAGCCAAATCGACAAACAAACGAGAACCTAAATAGTATGTAATTATATCTAAAACCACAATACGTTAATTACCTGTACTCAGTGCGCCATATTGTTTGTTGTCTGTTCTCTGTAAACCTCCATGTCTCCTTAACACTAGAACCGCCAGAGATTTTGTATACCTAAAACCGCCACCGGGGTCAAATAAGTGTCGTTTAATTAACAAAGGTAATCTGGTGTTTTTGAGTTGATGAGTAGTGGAGATATCACTGTCAAATCAATCGACGGTGAAGAGAATACTTACTTCCGGGTGTACAATTCTCCGTTATCCAATGGGAATGGACGCTCACATTGCCTTTAAGGGCCGCCGACATAAACTGATGCGGTGCTTCCATGAGCGTGAAATGAAGCTGAAGGAGCCTCGGCGGGTCCCAACTGCAAGCCACGGGACCCTGACCACGCGTCACTCCTGGACGTTTAGGGAGTGAGAGTGTGTTGCTCTGAGCTGCTGTTATTACTCTTGAGTTTTTGGCTGAATTCCTCTTCTTAGTTAGCTAGCAGGACAGTTAGGCTAAACCGTCAGTTTGGCAGTTGACTAACCGTCAGTTTGGCAGTTGGTTAGCTTCTCTGCTGGGTTCTTTAGTTGAACCGTATTTTCTTTGTAAGTGGGTAAACTTACAAAATCTGCAGGGGATCAAATACTTATTTCCTCCACTGTATTTGAAAGATCATGTTTGTTTCAAAAGAGCAGGAAAATTGTGAAATTGTCCAAATGTCTCCATTTTGACACCACTGAATCCGTGGGTTGGAGGCATGACACGGTTCAAGTGTGAGCTCCCAGTCCCAGTGCATTGTGAAGATATGACCTTGTACATTTCAAATACCCCAGAACCTGCGGTTATATATTTGAAGTGTACAGTACACTTCAGATAAATGACTACATGACCTGTGGTATTTGAAATGTACAAGGTCATATTTCAAAGATGCCAAGGGCTAAATGCACGTCACTTTGAATTAGTAATCTGTGAGGCCACTGTTCTCAGTATACCAACTCTCATGCAAATCAGAGCAACTTTATCGTGACCTGTTTTTATTTTTGACCTGTTTTTCAGTCAGTGATGATGAGTTTGCAAAGGTCTAAAAATCAAAGGTTCGCCGATCATCTCCACAATCGACACACTCAATCCAGAGGCTGGAGGCATGTGTTACAAAAAGGGTCGATGAACAAACTAGGAATTAAATAAGATGGCTAGAGTCACAAAAAATGTATCCTTAGGTGCTTTTATTAACAGCCAAATGCTGAAAGAACACAAAATAACAAGCATCTACAGAAAGAAAACAAACCTCAATATATATGTACAGGTCGAAGAAATATAACTGGTACCTCTCTGCTCTACAGCCACAGTCAGACTAACCTCAAAACACTTGTGGCCAGAGGTTTATATATGTTAAGCCCCTCCCCATAGGACAATCAACTATTTATACCCTTAATTACTGTTATTCTTATCTACAAACATATTCAAAATGTAGTTCAAACTAATTAAACACAATAAATCAAATAGGTCAACATGTTCTACATTTCTGACCACAGAAGCCTTAAACAATAACACTTTTACACTTGGAAGAAAATTGTCACCCGTGCCCATGCACTACATGGTATGCTCCAATTGAGCACAGGTGTTTCCACTGATTGAGCCTCTACTTAAGGCTGCAGTTTTCTGTTGCTCTGTTTGGATTTCACAACCTTGAACGAGAGGGTAAGCAGGTTACTTTGGCACAGTATTGTTATGTATGACTTCAAATAAAGCTGTCTTGAACAAATAATGACGTGGGTTTTATTTTATCAATGTATTCAAATTCTAGCGCACTCGAGCTGGTTTCTCCAAAATTACCTACCCCACCTTTAATGTGTTGCTTTAAATAATAATACTTCTGCCTACAGTATGTGACAATGTAAGTGTCAGATACGGCTCAATAGCTGTCACAGATAAGTAAATATATGATACATTATGATGTGATATGAATGATAATGGGACACATCGATGTCTGCACTCACAGTGCCGCGGACTGTACGTAATGTTACTTTGATCCGGTTACATATGTTGTGGCAGATATTTAAGTAAGATTTCTTAAAGCTAATGTTATAATAGTCAGATTGCTCTGAAGATGGAGGTGATATTCTATTAATTTTCACGTTCACAGTCTGTGATTTTTGCCGGCCGTCTTTCCTGCAATGGCAGTTTAAACTGTATTTCCTCCGCACACTGAGCTCTGATTGGTCAGCAGGCGTGGTGCTTTCGCTGAGTTGATCTCTTATCCTGGAACCTATTCGGCTTAAAACCACTATGGTTTTTCTCTTGGGTGAACACGAAGATGTGATTTGAGAGCACTCGATGTAGTGAACGTATTTCCACACTCTTCACACCAGTACGGTTTCTCTCCTGTGTGAAAACGATAATGGATTTTGAGTTCACCTGATGTTTTGAACATTTTCCCACAATCTTCACACCAGTACGGTTTTTCTCCAGTGTGAATACGATGATGTATTTTTAGAGCTTCTGATCTAATGAATGTTTTCCCACACTTTTCGCAGATGTACGGTTTTTCTCCAGTGTGAATACGTTGATGTTTTTTGAGATTACTTGATGTAGTGAATGTTTTCCCACACTCTTCACAGCTGTACGGTTTTTCTCCAGTGTGAATACGTTGATGTGTTTTGAGAGCACCTGATGTAGTGAACATGTTCCCACACTCTTTACAGCAGTACGGTTTCTCTCCAGTATGAATATGTTGATGTGTTTTGAGAGCACCTGATGTAGTGAACATGTTCCCACACTCTTCACAGCTGTACGGTTTTTCTCCAGTGTGAATACGTTGATGTGTTTGGAGAGCACCTGATTGAGTGAATGTTTTCCCACACTCTTCACAGCTGTACGGTTTTTCTCCAGTATGAATATGCAAGTGGCTCTTTAAAGTTCCAGATGTTGTAAAGGATTTGTGACATTGCTGACAGCTGTGACGTCTCTCTCTTCCTTTTGGTTTCTAGAAAAGACGGACAGAGAAAGAGAGAAAGTTAATCTAAAAAGCATAAATACATATTTAAATACGTTAAAACTCACTTAATATAAACCTTGAGTTAATAAAATACTACTTTTACTAACTTTTTGTGTTTATTATATTTGTATTATATTCGATACAGCAACATTCTAACCACATTATAAACCAGAGGTGGGGGATTCGAGTCACATTTTTTTACTTGAGACTTGCTTGACTAACATTGATAAAAGACTCTACTTGACTTTGACTTGGTATTCATGACTTGAGACTTACGCTTAAGACAGATTACTCGAAAGGACTTTACTTTTTTAAATAAAATGTTTCTATTTGTATTTTACGAAGCCCCTAAAGGGCAATGAAAAATCTCGTTCGCATGAGAAAGTTACCGGTGTGCCAAGTAGGAAGTGGAGCGCACAGGAGACAACCGTTTCATTGCAGACTGTTATGTTTATGTGGGGAAATAGCAGTGCATACATTATTTGAGATATATTTCTAACTCAGAATTCATTTTAGGTACATTTCGGCCAGGGTGTAGAGCTATTTGTTTAAGTAACGGATCGGCAAAACAGGAGAGTCTGTGAACCCGTCTGCCTTGATCTATGAATTAATGTCCCTGACTCTCACAGTATCTGCTGCCCACAGCTGTTTTATAGAAGGAAAACCTCCTTCACTTCATGAAATCTCTGCAGCACCAGGAGGCAGTAACGTGTAACTCAACAGAATCTGAGAAGAGCGGCACCAGCCGCAAAGAGCTTTGCCTTTTACTGTTTACTTCACTGTGTTTACCTTCATTAGAACAGATAAAGAGCGACTGCAACGTTTTAACCACACGCACCTCTACACACACATTGAACTGCCCAATTATTCCCCCTATTATTAGTTTTATGACGGAGATGTCCGGTCACTAGTGTTGCATAGTGTACCGATACTACAAAGGTACCGTGATACACTGCGGTTAAAAACTTTACAATTCCTCCGTTTCATTAGTATCGGTACTTTAAGAATGACATTGTTTTAATAACAGCCGTATTTCCTGTGTGTGTTCAGCGCTCTGATTCCCCTCCCTGCAGCCGTGCCTGCAGTCCCTCCCCTCTCATGCACGCTCAAAGTGCCTACCCTCTCTCATGCACACGCTAGCTGCCAAAGCATGTGAGAAAACGAGAAGCATGGCTGCAAGTGGGAGTGCTGCTGCCGCTGCGCCTCAGCTTGTTGACAAAAAAGACGCAAGAAGCTAAATTTGGAAATATTTTGTACATCTCTGATGACGAGAGCAAGCCTACGGACACCACGATGCCCGTCTGTAAGTAATGTTTTAGATCCCTGCAATCCAAGGGAGCCAACACATCAAACTTGACCAAGCACCTCGCTGACCGGCATCCAGAGCTGTTTAAAGAATTTTAAGACAGATAAGTTAGCGAATGTGATAGATATCATAATTACATCATGCCCAAGCCCATGCCCTCAAATCTAAGTCAAACGAGTGTGATTTATTTTGTGACAAACTAACGTTTTCACCATCGTAGTTTGACGAGGCAATTAATGGCAATGATAACTGTCTAATATGGCTATCTGTTTAGCTAACTTACCAATAGCCGCTTTCACACCAAGTACTTTGATGTACTTAGTGCCGGCACTTAGTGCCTGGCACTTAGTACCCCCCATGGCACGAAGTACAGATCACGTTCACACTGGAATAAGTTCCCTGAGGGAAGATTACGCAAATGAGCCACTGACGTCCCTTCTTCTTCTGCTTTGGGTTTACTGGCAGGCCGCAAACCACTTCACAGCGTATACTGCCACCCGAAGTCCCCGGAGTTGGGGACTGGCTTCAGTAGAAGCCTTCCAAGTAAATCGCCAGAACCTCCTCCTCACTCCACCGCTCCCATGATTTTTTTTGTGTTGCCATAAATTATTCTCTCTCTGTTGGTGCGCGCGGCTAATGCTAATAATGCTAATGCCAGCAAATAAAATGTCGGAGTTTTATGGGGCGTGGTTTGCAATTCGCCCAGTCAATCGGAAATTGATACTTTTTTCTCCCCAGGACAGTACCACCTCTCTAGCAGGGACTAAACATGGGGGTAAAAGTTCCCGGGACTAAGTACTCTTTTTGGTGTGAACGCAAAATAAGAGGTACTAACGGTACTTCAGGATGATGAAGCTCAAACCCAGGATTAGCCTGCTCTGAACACTACTGATGATGGTATCTCACACACTAATTATCTAATTCACCATCATAGAATTTTAATGTATTGTTCTCATTGTTTAAAAGTTTGTGTTATGACTTGAAAAATATTTCTGGTGCGAAATAAAGCACAATAATTACATTTAAGACGGTTTCCCTTTTTTAAAGAAAAGTATCACAACTCTTGACTTGGTATCGGTATCGAAACCAATATGTTGGTATCGTGAAAACACTACTGGTCACCAAGGCGCATGATGTGTGTGTGTTAGTGCCCCGGGGCCTCATTTATAAACTACCGTACGCTCAAAAGATGGCGTACGCCAGTTTCTAAGCAATCTTTGCGATTTATAAATAACAAACTTGACGGGAGGATGTGCGGTCTTCCAAGAACACTCTGACCCAAGCGTACGCACAACAACGGGAGAGATGAGAAACTGTGACACCGTTGGCAGAAGGAAGAATGGAGAGAAATATGTGAAAAATAATACCATAAATAAAATGTTACTCTCATTTATCATACATGTATAATTCATTTGCAAAAATGTATAAAAGCCAATCTTAAAATGATTAAACAAACGCCTGTTTGAGACTCCTCAGTGCACACAAAAACATAACTTGGAGAAATAAATAAATACGGATGTTATTGAAAACCACCTTGAATATGTTGTGTTAATGTTATGAAATGTATTCTCATAAATGATGCAGTAAGCAGAAGGACAGAATTATGTCCAAACTGACGCCGTTTTGCTTTTCTATAAGTTGTATAGATATGAGCATGCTTTTATATACTATCATGTTTAATCATGTTTTAAGCCGCTCGCCAAGACTTGATAAGTCGCTCATGGAGTTATGGAAACTAAGAACACCATATATTTGGTAAATTGTACAGCTGATATAACACAACACATTTGTTTTATTTCATTTAACTGGTGGATAGAGTTGCTGCAGAGGCTGCAGTGGAGATGCTGCTCACAGCTGATCGACAGCTGGAACACAAACCACCAAATAAATTAAAATAATTTAGATCCAGTCGTCATGCCTCCACTCCGGAGGGATTCCCTGATAATTTCTTACAGTTTCTTATCGAGGGGGGGGGGGTCTCCTGTCCCCGGTACAAACACACTGGGTGTTTCTCAATGTCGAGGACGCTTCCTTGGTAGGACATGTCCTTCCGAGTCAGGTCCTTCAGAGGCTAGGCAAGAATCCTTCCTAGCATCGGAGAATGAAGAATGGAACAGGCTAGCAGGTGTGAGGCATATGCAAGGCCCCGCCTTAAATTGAGCACGATTTGTTTGAAGACTCAAAACTGATTTGCGAAGATGGACACGTTTGTGTTGTTATCTTGTATCCATACATTTGTTGAAAATAAGGAAAACATAGAGCGGGAGTATCGGCAGCGTCTGTCTGCTCGGAGGAGGAGGATGTTCTGTCGCTGCCTTTGTGGACGACGTGCTCGGGTAGGAGAAATAATGTACTGTTATATTCAATGTTGGGAGAATGGGTAAGCTAGTTAAATAAGTATTGCCGCTTGCCTTCCTTTATTCTCTAATGTGAATCAAGTAAATTAAGCATCCATAATTACTCCATAGTTAGTTTGTGAGTTGTCATTATGGCTTGAATCCCCCTTGGTAGACACCCCTTTCTATTTCATGCTTCCCACACAATAAGCAAGCAACACTTTTCTCCAGTGTACATTTTGCATATATATAGTTTGTGCATGTTTGTAGTCGTTCTAAGACTTATCGATGCGGAGAAAATGTGTAATCACATTGAAATAGTTTTTTTAATTATGTAAACACACACCAAAAAATAACCATTAACCTGTTAAGCCTGGGCCGCAACAGCGTCTGAGGGCATCATAACATTTAAACTATGAATGTGTCATACCCACTAAACGAGAAGAAACTCAGCTAACTGACGATATGAAACATTTTTAACGAAACAAAACACAACTCTAACACAGAGTCTCTGAATTAGCACTAAGCGAAAGAGCGCTAACGCACTTAGCACATAACTCACGGTATAAATATTGTATACTTAATCAGATCTGCACAATCTAGATATCGTATGAAAGCTGAGATTCCACAGATTCCAAGTATAAGAATCATCACTGTGCGACCAGAACTCACGGCAGCAAAGGCAAGCAAAGACAACACACAACTTCACTTTACGTGGCCAAAACGTCTTACCTTTGCTGTTTTCTGATCAAAAGTTGTGTTCAATGGCATTACAACGCATATAAACGCTGCTGAAGGTTAATCCAATGTCTCTGTGTCACTTTGAAATTATTACTGATAATCCATCATCATATTCATGTCAATAAACAGAGTTTTCATATAGAGTGTATGAGAGCGTAACCCAGCTTCTGGTTTTGGCTGGCTGCACATCACTCATTCACCAATGGCAGTGTTTCCCCAACAATTGTCTTGGAGGGGCGCTGCACCGTGCCAACGGAGCCCCGCGCCCCCCCTGAAATTCAAAGTGTTCGACATTTTTTTAAATATATATATAGAGCACCAAATTGCAACTAATCTATATCTAGTGTCACTTTTCACATTCAACATGTGCTCTTTTATTAAATAAACTAAACGCTTTCATTTTAAGTTGTGAGTTTGGTGTTTTTGACCCTGAGAAACACTGATGCTATAATCAATAACAATAATCCACAGCTCCTCTCTCTGCTCCAGAGGATTTAAAAAATATATATCCCAATGCCCCCCCCCCCATGCTGAGGCAGCACTCCCCCCCCAAAAGCAGTAAACCTAGGGGAAACACTGAATGGTAATGTTTAGATGGATTTAGGAATCCCCTCTCGATTCTATTGGCTCTAATGGTTAAAAAGAGGTGTCAATCATCAAAATCGACCAATGGGTTCCAGAGATATAGCAAATACACCCAAATGACCCCAGAGGTGGGTTTTTTTATAAACATCTCTAAAAGGGTCAAATGTCCCTTTTTTTCATCAATCTTGATACAGGGTACTTATTGTATGTTATAGTTTGGATTCCTAAAGCTTTTTGTCTACTATCCAATCATTTAAGGGCAGTGTTGTGCTAGTTACTGAAAACCAGTAACTAGTTACCATTACTAGTTACTTCATTTCAAAAGTAACTCAGTTACTTTACTAGTTACTTACACCAAAAAGTACTGCGTTACTGTGAAAAGTAACGTTTTAGTTACTTAAAAAAATGTCTCCCATTAATGCCCTTATAGCCTTCATTTCAGTACTGTTATTGCATTGGAGAATAATACAATCTGTTGATCAACTTGACATGCATTATATGCAATCTGGATTGCATCGATATTAGCTGGCTTTCCATTTTTGTATATTCTTTCTCCAGGTAGTTGGAAAAAGTTTTCCGTCCCATATGCCGTGTGCCGCCCGGACATGCTATCATGCTAACTAGCTCCCTGAAAGCGGGTGACTCCACTGTAGCAATTACCTGCATGTGTTCTACAACATACCGTGCAATGGCTTTATCCACTTTTCCCTGGCTAGCAGTCCCTCGGTTAAAATCCAGCCGCTGTTGCTTAGGTGGAGGTGGAGTGGCGTTGGATGAGTCTGGGTCTGTGCCGGTCTTAGTTACTAGCTTCGTCCCAGCATGTTGTTTTTGCAGATGTTTTAAGAGATTTTAATTGCTGTTTTGGGCAGTAGATAGGATCTTTGACCCGCCAGGACACAACTTACATTTAACAGAAACTTTATTTTCTAGAAACTAGAAACTAGACTTGAGCTCCGCCGGCGCCATGATAGTAGTAACGCAGTAACGGAGTAACGCACCATGTAGTAACGGTAACTGAGTTACTGAATTTAAAAAGTAATGCGTTGTAGTCCCAACACTGTTCAAGGGTGGTTTTTATGGGCTCAGAACAGTCTCATAATACACACATGCACACAGAAGGATTCACACTTGTATTTCACGATCCGCAAAAGGATTCACACTTCTATTTCCGGATCCACACTTGTGTTTTTCAATGCACACACAAATGTGTTTCGTTTCATATACATGTAAATAAAATCCAAATACAGAAAAAAAGTTTGACATATGTATTTTTGATCCTCACATATTTGTTTTCCGTTTAAATCCTCTGAACCTGCAAACACAAACCGCTTTCTGTGCATGGATCGCTGTGCATTCGTGTGTGTTTTTTTTTAGACTCCCCTGACGCACAGCCGATTCGTACTCCAACTCCGGGGACTTCCGGCCGGGGACTTTGAGCGGCAGTATACGCCGTGAAGTGGTTTGCGGCCTGCCAGTAAACCCAAAGCAGAAGAAGAAGAAGTGACGTCAGCGGCTTCATTTGCCTAATCCACCCTCACGGACCAGGTTCAAAGAGTTCTCATGAACCTTTGTGGGAAAAGTACTGCGGTGTGAATGGTATACTAAAATCCATGTGAAAAAAATTGCTTCTCACTGTTCTTAGGTCAAATATTTATATGTGATTAAAAATGCGATTAATTTCGATTAATTAATTACAAAGCCTCTAATTAATTAGATTAATTTTTTTAATAGAGTCCCGGCCCTAATTTTTATATATTACCAAGTGGTTTCATGTACAACCCACACAAGCATCATGCTAAATTAAGCTCTGTTGCTTGGATATCACTAGATCCTGATGTCAGCGTAATATAAAAGTACATAACGATTGATGTGTAACTTAGCATAATTTACTAGCTAGCCGCTAACTGCCGCCTCGTTAATATAAATCCAGTACCATGCTGTCATGAACGTGCGGTGCTGTTACGTGTACGCAAATTCACGTGCTTAATGTGAACGAGCCTTTTGGGCGGCGTGGTTAAAGTTGCGCATGCTCTATGAGTGCACATACGGGTACTTCTCAGGCATGCCGGGTAATCTGTGACGTTTCGCTCTCTCAAAAGTTGGGCCATTTTGTCATCATGCGCCATTGAGCAACTCTCATAGGAATGAATGAGGCCCCGCCTCCCACGCTGTATCCAGTTCTTATTATACATCCATGGTCTCCTCCCGCTTCCCTCCTCCCTCACCCCTCCTCGACTCCTCCGTGTGCATTTCAGCTATTGGGACCAAGCCCCCAGGAAGTGCGCCGGAGTCTGATGAGAATATTCGTGCTGGTCAAACGGCGGTACTACACTTCCGTTAGGTTGCTGGGCCGGGAAACACTTTTTCCCATTGACTTACATTGGGAAAGAGTGGTCTGTAACTCGTTGGATAATTTTTTTTAAACTAAATAAACTACCCAGTATGAACACTTGTATAGCCCTTATTAAAAACATTCATTCCTCAAGTTGTAAAAATGTGCTAATAACGTTATTCTGAGAGTTATTTCCCTCTGCATTATGAACGTGCATCTAACCCATGGGACCGCGCCGCCGGCACGTTCATGTTACGTGTTCAGTACTACATAAGTTTCTCTTTACCCATGGATGCACAATAAGAACGGACCATATCGCCTTACTGCCCACGGAGCTGTAATAATGGATATATTGCACATGTTTGCCGTAATTCATCATTTGTAAAATATTATACTACATGGGCTGTATGATGTAAATCTTGTACCGTAAATGTTGTATTAAATAAAGTTAATATTACCGACGTAGATTAACGTTCCTGTAGCTTCTTATTGCACTTGCAATTGTTTTAGTTACTTGTGGGCTACTTAACATGAATAATCACAGTTACTATCCTTTTACTCCATCACATTTCAAAAAGAAATAGGCTATTGTTATTTTAACTCCACCACAGCATCATCAGCTTTACTTTTTAGATAAAGTTTTAACTCACAATTGATCATAACAGGCTTCAACATATACATTTTTATATATTACCAAGTGGTTTCATGTACAACCCACACAAGTATCATGCTACATGAAGCTCTGTTGCTTGGATATCACTAGATCCTGATGTCAGCGTAATATACAAGTACATAACGATTGATGTGTAACTTAGCATAATTTACTAGCTAGCCGCTAACTGCCGCCTCGTTAATATAAATCCAGTACCATGCTGTCATGAACGCGCGGTGCTGTTACATGTACACAAATTCACGTGCTTAATGTGAACGAGCCTTTTGGGCGGCGTGGTTAAAGTTGCGCATGCTCTATGAGCGCACATACGGGTACTTGCCGGGGCTGCTTCTCAGGTCGATTAAATGAAATCCTTGCTTCCCTCACTTGCGTCGTTTCCCTGCGTTTAGTCCCTCCCACCAGGGAAGCAAGGAAACCACGAGACGCAGGGAAATTAGTTTTAAGAGCAATGGGACGTCCTTTCCTCCGGAGCGTCACGTGAAGCGACGTCCGTTTGTGATGACGCTGCACAGCTGATCGTCTGACAGCAGCTCTGTTCCCGTTATTTTCACAAACACCCCCGCCTCTGTTAGTACACATTTACTGACACAAACATTTGTATCATCTGTTGTAGACCCCAATAAATAAAATAAAATAAGAACTCATTCTCAAAAAAGATAAACGCCATTCTTACAATTTATAAACGAACAATAGTTTATTAATATTAATTAGAGTGCACAATAGAAATAAAATAATTGAGAGAAGAAAAAGAGATATGTTATCTATCAAAACCCAGTTGGATTAACATTCATTGGATTGCACACTTTGTGTGTTTGTTTGGATATGTAGTAAATTAACATTTCAATAGCACTTAATGACTGACTGAATGGAAATGACAATAAATGAAAATGTAAAACGAAAAAAGCAATCATGAAAATGTTTCCAAAAAATGAATTAAATGATTTTTGACCACTTTGTTGTTCAGATATATCACATATTTGTAACTAAATGAAACATGAATTGAAACAAAACACGGTATAAACTGAGGAGTGACTCCCGTGAGGTTCATGTATTTTCTTCACTCTGCTCTCATGTCAAGAAGCATCAGATCAGTGCATGCGCTGCCTCGTCCAATCAGTGAGCGATACACAGTAAGGGGGCGGGGTGAGTATCTGAGGATTTCATCGGAGGATGGTCTGGTGGTTCCTCGGTTATCGCTCCTCCGGCAGAAATAAGAGCCATGGGACGGTACTCAAGATGGCGCAGGCAAATCAACTTCCGGTGAGACCGAGGAGCGAGGAAATGAAAATAGTCGACCTGAGAAGCAGCCCGGGTAATCTGTGACATTTCGCTCTCTCAAAAGTTGGGCCATTTTGTCATCATGAGCAACTCTTATAGAAATGAATGAGTCCCCGCCTCCCACACTGTATCCAGTTCTTATTATACATCCATGATTGGGACGTCCTTCAAAATGGCGTGTCTTGATCGATTTCCGGGTCAAGTCCCGGAGGAGGGGAAGAGAAGAGTCGAGGAGGGGTATTGGGATGAGGCTAGTGTGTATTTATTTAATCACCTTTGTTTTACAGCCTGTGCTGGAAGACCGTTTTATATGCAGGCTTTTATACTGTTTTAATACTGTATTGATACTGTTTTCATACCGTTTTTAATACTGTTTTTATACTGTTTTTACCCCTTGCATCAGCTCCGGTTAGCTCCCATTAGCTCCCGATAGCTCTTGTTAGGTCCCGCTGCAAACTCACCTGAACGAAGGTTGTTTTCCCGGATCCAGCCATCTTGGTCTCTCCCCCCGGTGTCCGTGTGTCTTCCCCCGGTGTCCCGGTGTCTCCTGAGGTCGCTAAACACTCCCGGTTCTCCGGTAAATCCTCCGGAGCTGCGGAGGCCATGATGTCTGATGTTGTGGTGAACTGCCGTAAAGATACTAGTACTGTCGCAAAATGTGAGGTGGCGGAGTACACTTAGTGACCGCTAGAGGGAGCAAAATACCTTATCAATAATAATAATAATAACAATAGATTACATTTTTATAGCACCTTTCAAGGGACCCAAGGCTGCTTTACATGCTGTGAACAAACAAACAAACAAGCAATGAAGTATTAACACGTTAAATGTTATTGATCCCACATTGGGAATTATTTAGTTACATCAGCAGCTCTTCAACATCCTCATTAATTCATTAAATGATTGAAGAGTAATTAGATCAAGTAAGGAACTTGTTGTACATGAGTTTTGGTCTTAATATGAATATATATATATATAATAATAATAATAATAATAATGTGTATATATGTATTATGTGTATATATATCATAATATTTACATTTATTTGACAGAGCTGGAAACTGATTGACTTACATACTTGTTTGTGTTTACCTACACATTCATCACAGATGAGCCAAACAGAGTAGAGGATGAAGAAAGGGACACACAAGAAGGAGATACAACAGACAAGAACAACAATGGAGACAACAATGAACAACAAAATGATTTCCTCCTTCCATCCCTTTTTCTGTTTAATCTGATTACTAACAACTTCTAATAATTTGACATAGTTTATGATTTAATTGGAAAATGAAGTGTTTTTAAATAATAAACCTGTTTCTGATTCTGATTCTTTTTGACGTATGGGTGTTGAGAGATGTATCCATATCTCTTAATGTTGCTCTCAAAGTGCACAAGATTTATGCTTTTAACTTCAACATTTAAAAAAAATCTTCCTGGGGGGCCCCAGAGGAGGTGAGTTCCCCCCAAAATAGCACTATCTCTGCTTATGTAACTCCCCTCGGCAACAGATCACTCAGAGCTGATTACTTTCCTGCATTTCAATGGAGGGCATATAAAAAGGACACGTGAGCTGCATTGCTTAAGAGATCCTCTCATGCCATCTCTTTTACAAAATAAGTGTCCAGTCAACAACAAAACATCAGTGATCGTATAGTGGTAGTATATTTTTCACAAGCAATGTGAAACATTAAACTTATACAAACTGGTGTACAAAACTCACATACCTGCGTTGATCTCCTGGAGTGTCTCTACTCTTTCTTCTCCACATCTCTTGTCCACCATCAGAGATTGCAAACATTTCAGAAACAGCTAGAGGTAGGGGACAAACAACTTGTCCGCTGGGCATGTCAAAAACCTCCCTGCTTTGATCAAGACTTTAGGGAGCCTTTCAGCCCCTCTACCAAAGGGACTGGAAAGCAAGCTTTGAAAATGCAGTACCTTCTACATGCTGTCATGTTCCAGACACTGCTCTCAACCACTCAGGGCCTGCACAAATACCTGCAGAAAGAAACACTTGACTTGGTGCAGGCAGTAGATTACAAAACAGCAGTTGAGAACACACTGAAAAGTTACCGAAGTAACGAGAAAGCACATGAGGTCTATGACCAGACCAAGGCCCTGTGCAATGATCTTGATATTCCCGAAACTGTGACACAGAGGAAGAAGCGTAGAAACATGGAAGACTTTGTAGTCGAGGCATCATGTGGAGCAATGTGAAACATTACACATAAATAAACTGGTGTACAAAACTCACATACCTGCATTTCAATGGACAGCATCAAAGGACTCGTGAGCTGGGTTCTGGTGCTCAGATTAGCTATTGATGATCACGTTGATAAATCATATAAAACAAATAGCCAATCACACTAAAAACATGTTGCTGTGACTGTGAGCATTAAACAATTAACATTAAACTAAACAAATACAACAGTACGTTATTGTCCTTATAAAATAAAAACATACATTTTGTCCGCCGAGATAATACAGGCACCTTACCCTCAAGAGATCCTCACGTGCTTTGAGAATCTCCCACAATCCATTGCCGTAACAAAGCTAATGCAGGCACACGTTTGTGACACCAGATGGCGCAATTGTGTATGTGCGTGTGGGGAGCCTTGCAGTAGAAAATGCGACTGTAGCGCCGCCACTGTGGGCTAAGCCCCGAATGTTTCCAGGTCCAGGCGACGCTCCTGCTCATAAGTATCAGACACAATGACTTTACAGAGAGTGAAGATGACATGAACATAGTTACTGTATGGTACTGAAGACAAAATACAGTATATTGCATTACTTCCTCTAACTCTCTCTCCAAAATTGGCCTCCATTGTTGTGCACAACAAAGTGTTCAAGCTCAGGTTTCTAAGTGATCTAATTTTAACATGTGCATTCTGGGTGCAGGTGTATCAGGTACAGCAGATGTGTTGTCCCTGTGTCCACCTAAAATCTATTCAAACACCATGACACAATTCAATCTGATTAATGATAAAAACCTAGAGGACATTATTCAACATCTAAAATCCTGTTCCTGCTTCCTTGATATTATTCCAACAGGCAACAACAAAGATGTTTTTCATTGCATGGCCTCAGATCTACTTCGTATAGTAAACCAGTTTCTTCACTTAGGTGTTTTTCCAATGGCCCTGAAAACTGCAGTCATTAAACCGCTCTTAAAAAACATCAATCTAGATGCTTCAGTAATGAACAATTACAAGCCCATATCAAACCTCCCATTTCTAGGGGCTTGATAATTGAGTGTGGTATTTCAGTGGCGGTGTTTTGCAAACAACACACAGGCTGGTTTTGGTTTTGGTTTTGAATAACGTATCTAATGTAGGCTAAATAAGAGTGAGTAGTTATTTGCAAAAAGAGTATTTTGGAATATCAAACTTAGTGTAAAGCAGACGATGTGCTTATGATTTAGCATATCTGTTCAATAGATGAAAGGCAACTTGAGTTTCATAATTGTGCCAAAAGTACCAGTTTGTGTCTTGGTAATTGCACAAAGCTGTAATAGGGCACAAATAATCACATTTTTCTAAAAACATAGCAGCAAAACCTATTTTATCCACCCAAAAATGAAGGCCCACCTGAACATCGCTATTTTTAGCATTAAATAATGTACACTTAAACTGATGTAGCTTTTTTGGGTGGATAAAATAAATGTTGCTTTTGCCCACGTCCTCAGCAGTACATGGCTCTGCTGTGCTCTTGTATGTTTCTCCACACGACTACTGTAGGTAGTACGCTGATTATGGATATACACCACATACTACCCCACTTCAAAAATACCTATCCCCTTAAGGGCAGCTGTTGATGTTCACAACAACAACAAATGCATGCAGATGGTTGTAATCTGTAGCCAGCCAGTGGTAGATCTGGCTGTGGTGGAGCATTGTGGTGGGCAGCGGTGTGACTTCTAGCTGTCATGGTGATGTTCATATGACAAAGGACTGCCAGCTTGAACTTTACAGAGAGCAGAGTCCACTAGTGGCACCTCACAGGGATACCTATGGTGCAGAAGCAGCGGTGAAGTCCTTGTAGATCCCTGGCACTTTGAGGGCAGACAGATCCAGCAGCTCTCAGAGACATCAACACATAAACTATTCTGTGTGCATAGTTTACTTTCACATAACTACTAATCTCTCACTTTACTTTCTCTACATTGTTCTCTGCTTTGGATTGCGGACATCCCAGCCATGTTCCCTACCGGGCCTGGTTTTACACACTGTGGGTTTAAGCAAGATATAGAAATGATGAGATGATGTGTGTATGAGACATGATGAGTGTGTATTTTTAGCATTTGAATTACAATGATATTATTCTCAGACTTGCCATAGTTCTTGGTTTGTACCACTGCTGCTCTGCTCTGTAGAGCTGAGTACTGGGGACCCACTGGGAGTCATGTGACTGGAGCAGGAGAGTAACACACGTCACACCTGCAGCCATGATGCTCCAGCTCCGCGGGGGTCGAGTCTTTCAGCCCCACCTGTAAGAAGAGAAACAAAATAAATACGTATTCAGTTTGCTTTGTATTATTTATTTTAGAGTAACATTTTGGTTTAATAACATTGTGCTATTTTAACCTCTTAAGCCCCAAGCCTGTTTTTCAGGTTTCAGGCTCGAAAATGACATGCCCAAAACAAAGGACTATAACTTAACTTCTAAAAGGGTTATATGAATAATTTATTTTATCAAAGCAAGGTCACATCTGTGAGTTGGATGTAGAAGTGTCAGAATCAATACATATGTAAATCCAGATGGAACATAGTCAAAAAGTGTACATTTTTGTCTCCGCCCAAATAAAACCCATTACTTATAGTGAAAACCACCCTTGAATGATGGGTTAGTAGCCTAAAAGCTTTAGGAATCCAAAGTATAACATATAATAAGTACCCTGTATCAAGATTGAGACAAAACAAGTGAGAATTTACCTTTTTAGAGAGATTTAGCACAAAAAAAGTCCAAGCGGACTAAGCTTTGGGCACATTTGGGTACATTTGGTTCCATCAGTGCCATTTAACCTTTTTCAGGTACCAGACTGTAAAAATCATTGTTTAACATTTAATTATCAGTAAAGGTATTCTTTCCATAAAAAAAAATATATATATATATTGTAAAAAAAGAAAAGAAGAGTGGGCTGTGCGTAAACCAGCTATACTGCCTTTACTTATACTTACGCAAGATCCTCGTTAGAGCCGATCGAATCGAGTGGCAGTTTCAAAATACGTAAATACGTTAAAATACGTTACATAAATACGTTTGCGCTGTGGACCAACACTATACATTGACGGGGAAGCGGGTAGCAATAAAGATAACACCATTAAACAGTTACACAACATAACAGAAATAATATCGATACCAGCGTCCCTAGCAACCACCTTGGTGACAATGTTGTATCGACACAATTTCCTGAAGTAATCTTCGTAATAACTAGCAAACTAAAGATCATGTACCTCCACTGCACACATAATCTGAAATAACAACTCATATTTCTCGCATCAAATGACATCAAAAGGCATTTTAATGACCAAACTAACTTTAAAATAGGCATTTTACACCGAGAATAAAACGAAGTTCGGCCATGTTTTTTTTTTTCTGCGTAGAAATGTGAAGATCACGTGACATAGACGCCAGCCATTGGAATGAATGGTGAAAAAAAACGTAGGGATCTTACAATTTCAGAGGCGTTTTTGTAGAAATACTACGTCCTACGTTGTGGACCAACGTAGTTATTACACGTTTTTTTACGAGACTGGGTTGGCTATCCTGCAGTATACAAAGTCATTCAAACTAGCTGCACCTTTACCAGCTTTGAGAACACTTTAATGATCAATCATTATAAAACATATATAATTAAAAAAATGTATTATCACAAACAAGAACATTTTCCCCAATGTTTAAAATCCGTCATACCAGTCCCATTTTAGATTTTTTTATATACTTTATTAAGTATTTATATTTATTATTATTACTATTATTATTATTATTATTATTATTATTATTATTATTATTATTATTATTATTATTATTATTATTATTATTATTATTATTATTATTATTATTATTATTATTATTATTAATGTAATGATTATTTATTTTAATACCGTTAGTTTTTATATTTCTTCGCCACAAGGGGGCAGTGAAATTATGTTTAAAAGAACATCTCTAATCCCGTGATGCATTGCGGCAGTCCGTTTCTATTTTCCGGTCTTCAGAAGCTATACGTTGCTAACAGGCGTTGATGCAGATTTTATAACGAATACTGTGTTCAAGAGACTTTTAAAACACATACAAAATAGTTAGTTTATCCTTGGAGGGTGATTTATCGTGCTTTCATCCGTTAAACCGTGTTTTTGTTGCCTCCCGTTCTTTGTTCGTAGCTTTTAATACAACGTCGCTGATCGGTAAACATAAGTAAAGGCATTAAAGGAAGATTAGTGTGTTTAACGGCAGTGTTTTATCAAGGAGAAGAAAGACTGAAGAACCAGGACGAAGAGGAGAGAGAGAGAGGTTGTGTGTGTGTGTGTGTGTGTGTGTGTGTGTGTGTGTGTGTGTGTGTGTGTGTGTGTGTGTGTGTGTGTGTGTGTGTGTGTGGTGTGTGTGTGTGTGGTGTGTGTGTGTGTGTGTGTGTGTGTGTGTGTGTGTGTGTGTGTGTGTGTGTGTGTGTGTGTGTGTGTGTGTGTGTGTGTGTGTGGATTGTGTGTGTGTGTGTGTGTGTGTGTGTGTGTGTGTGTGTGTGTGTGTGTGTGTGTGTGTGTGTGTGTGTGTGTGTGTGTTGTGTGTGTGTGTGTGTGGTGTGTGTGTGTGTGTGTTGTGTGTGTGATGTGTGTGTGTGATGTGTGTGTGTGTGTGTGTGTGTGTGTGTGTGTGTTGTGTGTGTGTGTGTGTGTGTGTGTGTGTGTGTGTGTGTTGTGTGTGTGTGTGTGTGTGTGTGTGTGTGTGTACTCCAGGTGGAACTAAGTCTGATTTAACACTTGATTATATTTCACATCATTAATCCAGATCTGTGAAGTAACTAAAGTATTAAATACATGTAGTGGAGTAAAAGTACACCATTTACCTCTGAATTGTTCTAATTGTAAAAGTAATTTCTTTCTCATTGTTTTGTAAAAAAACAAATTAACAAGACAAACATGTAGCTGATGACGATGACCTAATGTTTTATTTATAAGAAACATATATGCTAGAGGGGGTAGGACCAGAAAAGTTTTTTGCCCCCGTTGAACATGACAGAGACTAGCTGAGAATTATTATTTTTTTGTTGTTATCATTTGTTTTTTTGTGTACTTTGTTATAATTATTAATTTGAATGAGAAAAAAAAGAGTATATATTATTGTTGTATGTTTTTGTTTCTGACATGTTCAATAAACTGACAAAAAAAACAAAAACATAGAAATACTCAAGTAAAGTAAAAGTACCTCTAAATGGTACTTAAGTTCAGTTCTTGAGTAAATGTACTTAGTTACTTCTCACCTCTGCTATGAACCTACGAAGTAGCTGTAGATTTGTTTTGTTGTGTCTGTCGGTTGCATTGAGTTGTCTTGTTATGTGTCAGCTGTAGTTGTGTTGATTATTTCAGAGACACAGCCGGAGAAGGAGCACTGAGAGCAGCATGGAGGAGAAGAAAAAGACCCCTGGAGCTCAGGTCAGTGTGCACTTCATCACAATATATTCCTATCACTGTTATCCCCAAATGAAAGATCACAACCTGTTTAGAAAATACAATATGAATGCACAATATGGTTAGATATAGGTTATAAAGTTGTTGTATACGATAATACTTTATTGATCAAGTCTGAAATGTGACTTGCATCACAGCAGCTCCATGTGTAACATCAACATAAACAAATATCAAGACACAATACATGAAAAACAAACATTTAACATAACAGCAGGATCAGTGAGAGAAAACCTGCTCAAAGAGCCTTCAGCGTGCTTTTGATCTGGATTCAGCTCTGTATTTACTGAGAGGACTGACTGGAGCACAAAGGATGCTTCAGTCTGACTTTATTGAATCTCCATTAGATGGCAGCAGTTCATATTCATATTAAATCAGTCATTAAAAAGAAAAGCTAATAAAAGAAACATTAAAAGAAAAAGTACATGGATAAAAGTTACAGTGCAGTCTAAGATATGAATAGTTCAATTAAAAGCAGCGACAAAAAGAAAAGTCTTCAGCCTGGATTTAAAAGTAGTCAGAGTTGCAGCGGACCTGCAGGTTTCTGGGAGTTTGTTCCAGATATTTGGAGCATAATAACTGAACGCTGCTTTACCATGTTTAGTTCTGACTCTGGGGACAGAAAGCTGACCAGTCCCTGAAGACCTGAGAGATCTGGATGGTTCATAATTTAGCAGGAGGTCAGAAATGTATTTTGGGCCTAAACCATTCAGTGCTTTATAAACCAGCAGCAGTATTTAGAAATCTATTCTTTGACACACAGGAAGCCAGTGTAAAGACTTCAGAACAGGAGTGATGTGATCCACTTTCTTAGCGTCAGTGAGGACTCGAGCAGCAGCGTTCTGAATTAGCTGCAGCTTCCTAATAGATCTTTTAGTGAGACCTGTGAAGACACCATTGCAGTAGTCGAGTCTACTGAAGATAAAAGCATGGACAAGTTTACAGTGTTGAGTAAGTTCTTTACAGTTAGTAACAAATCCCAGAGCACTGTGATAGACGGCATCTAACTTGTTCAGGTAATGGGCAGGTGCATTCACATAGATCAGATCACCAGAGTCCAGCACAGGTAAAAAGGTCAAAGGTCACAGAGCCTTTTTCTGGCCTCAAGCGAGAAACAGGACTTGTTTCTGAAAAATAAACCTAGTCTAACCCTCAGCTTTTTAAGCAGATTCATGACCTGAAGTTTAAAAGTAAGACAATCATCAAGCCAGATACCTAGGCATTTATAACAGGCAACCACTTCAAGTACTTGTCCTTGCATAGTAACAATATTCAAAGCAGTCTCTGGAGTCTTTTTTGCTTTTTAAAAAAGCATTACCTTGGTTTTCTCAACATTTAAAAAGAAGCTTAAGCTCAGCGAGTCTGAATAATGTTATAATCAGCCTGTAATTTAACACCAGCCTCCTTAATGGAGGGACCTGCACAATACATCACAGTATCATCCGCATAAAAATGTAAAGTAGCTTCATCCACATTTTCACCTAAACTGTTGATTAGGGATCGACCGATGTGGCTTTTTCAATGCCGATACCGATTATTAGTAATCAAGGAGACCGATAACCGATATTTGTAACCGATATACATTTGTAGTAAAATCAGAAAATCTTGGTGTCAAAATGTAGAATAACACAAACTCCAACGCAACACAACTTTGAAATGCATTTTAGCATATATTATGTTTAATGAACTTTTAAACATCTTACAACTGGTTTCCTCTCTGTGCCCTTTTCTTTAGTGCAGCCATCTGCTATGAGTTAGAGAGAGACAAGAAGTGGGGCTGCAGGCTGATATGCTAAACTAACAATAATGCTTAATTTATTATATCAAAACAATGCCGTCTATCTAGCATAAAATCCCAATAAGCTGCTAGCAACTGCAAAACACTAGTGCTAGCTAATGTTTTGCAAACTATTAAAAGTGAGGCTATTACAGTAGACCTAACGTTAGTCTAGTAGCCTCACTTCTAATATTTTGCTAAACATTTGCTAGATACATGTTGGCTAGCTAATGAGCTTCACATATCAACCTGAAAATCTGCGAGGCTCCACTCGCAGCCCCCCCCCCCACAGTTACTCCGCTGCGTGACGCTGCACGCACCCCCAACTCTGACTGACTTCCCGCGTCCCTGTGTAACTGGGAAACTGATAGAATTGGATCATAAGATTGTGGTGTTTTTGCAACTTCAGCATAGGGGATAGGGATGTGTATTGAACTTCGGTTTAACGCAGCTCTGCTGCTCAGTGCTGCTGCTTGCTTCAGTCTGCGTTCTTTCGCACCTGCCTGTAATCTGAGAAGGTCCCGCCTCTCTGGCTCCCACCCGGAAAATATTCAGTAATAGCCTATCAGATAGCGCTGTGGGCAGGACATTGCTCGTGTACACAGAGTGGTGACTGCAGCCAGAGAAACGGCCGCATCAGAGCCAAAGTTTTATCGGCAATTTGATAAAAAAACAGGCCGATGCCGATAATCGGTCAAATGCGGAATATATATCGACCCCTAGTTAGAGCCAATATAATCGAAGGGGAATTTCCACATACACGTTACCATTGAGAAGTGAGAGCTATGTTTGCCCAAAGCGAAACCTCTGAAAATGTTACACTCTGAAATCTGAAAACTAGGTTTATTGCTGATGAATTATCAGAAATCCTTTCAAAGTGATATACAACACATCACCATAGTCCAGCACAGGTAAACAAAGTCACAGTGACTAGCCTTTTCCTGGCCTCAAGCGAGAAACAGGACGTGTTTCTGAAAAAGAAACCTTGTCTAACCCTCAGCAGGTTATTGAGATGAAGTTTAAAAGTAAGACAATCATCAAGCCAGATACCAAGGTATGTATAACAGGTCACCACTTCAAGTACTTGTCCTTGCATAGTAACAATATCTAAAACAGGCACTGAGGGTCCGGCCCACCATCCACCACCACGGGGGGCTTTCTTCTCACAATCTGTGAGGACACCCTGGTTTTCCCCAGCTCCTGGGAGAACGACCTCCGTTCTTCTCTGTCCCCTCACTGTTTACGACATTCAGTATCCTCTCCACTTTTCAGAGGAAGGGTCAGAGGAACTCAAAGAAATGCTGGACTCCAGTGAGCATTCAGTGTCAGACCCCCCTCGAACCTTGTGTCTTCTTCAGATGAGTCCTCCTGCTTCGCTGGCAGATGAAGGCTACAAGATTACTTCTGAGGTCTCCTCTGCACTGAAATGCTTCTTCATTTTAGTTCCTTCTCTTTGCTCCCTTGGTCAAACTGCATGTTTATCTTTGGCAGCCAGGTGCATGAACACATTAACAGTTGTTTTTTGTTTTTGAGTAATCAAGCAGCTCTTCAAAGACACATCAAACGCATCCCTCAAAAGATGGCCTTTTTTCCCATGGAATGATCCGTGCATGCTTACAGATTCACACACACACACGCACACACACACACACACACACACACACACACACACACACACACACACACACACACACACACACGGAGAGAGAGGAGAGGTGTGTGCTGGTTGTGCACAGGCCTACAAAATTGTTGTATCACCTGAGAGAGCACCAGGTCACATGCTGCAGGACCTTCTGGTCTGCTGCTGGAAATGACACACACACACATATACACACACACCACTCTCTGGCCCCCTGGTCGTCACACGGCTCCATAATATAACTGGCAAAAATGTAAGAATTTCATGCATCGGCCTACAGTGGGAAAATAGTGTAATCTGTTGGAATAGAGTATAAATATCAAATATCACTACTTTTCTTCGAAATGAAATGCTGACATTACAAAATGCATGGTTTTATACTGCAATGGCAGTGAGATAAAAAAATGTGGTCTGAATGGAAGTCAATGAGGCATTTTTGAGAGAAATTAAATAATTAAAATAATTAAACGGGCGTTTAAAGGGTTAAAATCCTGAATATTATTGAATGTTTGGTAGTTTTGAGTACGTTAGAAGTTGTTTATGTGATTCATGAAAAAAAAAGTAGAAAGAAATATTGATATATGATTTAATAGCAGTTATTATGGATGTGTACATTTTTGCCACGAAGGGGTCCAGAGGTAGTATCTAACACTACGTACAAAATAATAATGCAGTCAAATCAATTGTGTTGCTAATCTTTGACACATCCAAGACAGCAGTTCAGTAAAGTCATCAAAAAAAGCTAAAAAAAAGCTAGTAAAGAGCACAGCTCACTCACGCAGCCCTGGCCGGCCCCTACATTGGTTGTGATGGTAAATTACAGGGTTTTGTTAACCTTCACAAGTTGCTCTCTACTGATGAGGAAGCAGCATACAAGTAAATCAGGTTTGGATTTACTTCTATTTAGGCAATTATTGACACCAAGATGTCTGCTTGTATTGTGTTGAACGCTGCTGAGAAGTCTAGGAAGAGGGCTCTTGCATAGGTGTGACGTTTATCTAAATGTTTAGTGATTATGTGAACCAGAGTAGCAACAGCATCTTACGTACCACCCCCTTGCTTATAGGCAAACATAGTAGTAATCAGCAGCGAACCGCTTCAACACGTGTATTTTGGTTTATTCACGTCAATAATTTTGTTATTCTACGATATTGTTGTTTTTATAGTTATTTGTTAATGTATACAACCCAATTTGTGTTCTTTGCAATTGGAAAGGATATTGCATTGTGTGTGTTACTTTTGTTGCAGTTGTATATGTCTTAAGTGTAATTTGGCTTGGCTTCCTATTTTTTAGGAAGAGTTAGCGCTGTTGACAGGAAGTTATTATTGTTGCTATGGAAACAACGTGACGGAGATTAATAGAGAAAAGTCATATCTACATATGAAGACGGAGAAAATAAACGATACATTTTATGGTTAAAGGTGAGGTAGGTAAGTTTGAGAAACTTCATCTGTGGAAGCCGTATTACTTGTAAAAAGCACCACCAATCATCTGAGCCGGCCCGGCTAAAATAACTGGATGGCCTACCTGCCTGTCAGCCTTCCATCTGT